AAGTCAACTCTTTTGTTAATTAATTTCGAAAATAACTAAAATTAATTTTTTTTTTTAATTTGCTTTTTGGAAGTATAATTAAATCATAATTATATATCTTTGGCATTTAGATTGGTATGAACACTTTAAAATTATTCGAAAATTAAATTTGCAAATTTCAATAAAAGAAAGTACACAATCTAAAGTGCGAGTTGTCAATTTAACTTAAGAATTTTCATCTATACTTCTATTTTTTTCATTTTCTTATAGTTTACCTCTAAGCTACTTAATACCACTCTTTATAGAGTTTTTCAAATGAAAAAATTTATAGAGTATGAATATTTTTTAAATAATTTTAAGGATATAGGATGGATTGGGACATTGTTAGAATCTTTAAAAATTTCAAATGATCCATGTTTTAAAGATAAAAATTACTTTTGGAAAATGGAGCATCATTTTTATTTTATTAATTATAATTATAAGGATGCCAAAAGATTTTAGAGCATTGAGCATCAAACTATATTCTATACTTGATTAATAAAATCAAGAAACAATTATAAGCGTCTCCTTTTAGATTGACAATTCGATAATCTTTTATACACGGATAAGTCAAAAAAAATTGTTTATTTATGATTAAAAGCAAGAAAACATTTCGACTATGATCATTAGGCTAAATTAAAGGATTTTACATTAATCTTTAGTATATTTAATTCAATAAATTTTGAAGATTAATACTTTAATAGTTTATTTATTTTTTCTAACAAATTAAGCATTAACCCTATTAAGGATTGAAATACTTCAATATCATAATCCTAATTTTTCTTTTATACATAAGTTTTAATTTCTATAAATGAAAAATGCAAAGATTTTGGATTAGAAATTCTATTTTCTTTTTGAGCATCTTATTTTGTTTCAAAATTTATAAATATTTTTCTATATCCATTATGGTTATCAAGTATTTAGACGTTGCTTCTTATCATATTTTCTTATTATATATCATCCTTGACTCTTTCAATAGTTTTCTGTATTTTTATGCTCTTAAAAAAAATAAATTATCTTTATATTCATTGTCTTTTATAATGATTTTAAATTCATATTAAAGCTTGGTAAACATATATATTTTGAACAATCCTGGTCACATAGCTGAGTCTTAGGTTAGTCCCTTTAGATAAAAGTATTTCCCTTATAATATCAAATAATTATATTTTAATTAGTCTTATAATGTCTCAGGAAACTAAACTTTTGGCTTCATTTTTAATCTATTTATGATTAAAAAATACTGATCCCTTTTCTAAATAAAAAGTTTTAAAACATTATTTTTCACAAAATCCATTTCATTTATAATTTTTTTCTATTCTGAAGATATTTATTTTTCTTATATCTTATTTTATGTAACTAATTTTGAGTATTTTCTGCTTTACTTTCTACTTCACTTATCTTGTTAAATCATCATTTTCTTATTGGAATAAAGTGAGATGGAAGAAAATAAATGATATAAATTATGATTCTACAATAATTAATAATTATTCTAATGAATCATACAAATAATTTTTACTTCATCAGAATTTTTATTTATATTGCTTTAAGGGCTTGATGAACACTAAATTGAATTGCTCTTTATCTAGGAGGCCTTCACCACTCTTACCCAATAAGAAATAATTAATTTTGTAAAATATAAACTTTTTTTCTCGCATACATAATTTTTTTTTAACAGAATATATCCTTGAAAAGCTAAAATGATTTAATAATAAATAGTGCTTTGAATTACGAATTCATACAATTAATACATTTTGAGATTTAGAATTAAATAAACGATTAGTAGGGAATTGTTGAAAGTCACTATCAAATTAATTGTAATATGCAGGGTATCTAATGTCAAAAGATTCATGATAAAATCAACTTTTTAAAACTTAAATTGAATTGATGGAATTTTAAAAAAATAATCAATCGCCTTAGAATTGATTATATTTTATTATATTAATATTTGGGTATGAACTAATTCAATCATTTAGATTCATATATTTTGATAATATTTTTGCAGAAAAAAATAGATGCCTAAGTAAATATTTACTGAATTTATTTGGCTATTGTACTCAAGAGAGTATTCATAAGCTTGTGTTATTTTAATCGATTTATTTCCAAAAAAAACTAGTGTTAAAAAAAACATCCAAATTGACAATTTTATACTCATTTATTACTAATTAACCATACTCTAAAAAAAACTATCTAAAATACAAAATAAGTAAATATTTATTATACATTTTTTCTGGAAATCTGAAACATTAGTATTATTATAATTTATCGAAATCCTCTATAAAAATAGTAGATTTAGTATTTTTGAAGAATTAAAAATAGTTAAAATAATGAAATAGAATTTGATTATAAAAACTAAAACTTTCCTCAAGCATAAACATCTTATCCTCAAATTTAATAAAAGAAATAACGATAAGATTACTTTTCTAAATTGAATACATGCTTCTTCATAATATAAACAGTATTTAAATTAATTTCTAATTCTTTTTGAGGACGATTCTGGTTTTCGTTTATCATAATGCTTTAAACAATTAGTATCGACTAATTATCCCTGAATATTGGATATATGATGTTGTTTCCAGAATCTCTTTTAAAATTATAATTAAAGCTTTATATATTTGATATAAACATATCACGATAAATTTGTGTAATATATTAGAAATTGAGAGATTTTCCAAATAAATACTTAAAAAAAAAAA